GCCCGCCGGGCCCGTGGCGTGCGAGCGGCCGTACAGCTCCCACGGCAAGGTGAGTCCGCAGGGCTGCCCGGGAGGGGTGAGGTGCGGGGAAGCGTTTCGCCTGCCCGGGGTTGTTCTGTGGCGAGTCCCCGAAGGTGGCGGGCTTGCGTGTAGAAGATGGCCTTTCCAGACAGGCGGTGCCATCCTGGAGTAGCCGTTTCCCGCTGCAGGGGCGTTTGCGTCCCCTTGGCAATAATAGGAGAACTTGCCGTTCCAAGCGGAGGCATCCCGCAAGGGACGCGGCAGGTAATGGTGGGTAATGCTGTGTATTGATAGTAGCAAAGAACTCCGGGCTTGCTGTCTTCTCTGCCTGGCCCGGAGCTGCATGCCTAGCCTGTGTGAGAGAGATGAGCTCGTGTACCTCTAAAATTGGCGACCAGAGTTTTTCAGTAAAGTTTTACTGATTGCTGTTAGGGGTCTCCTGGTTCCTGGTGCTGAAAGCTTTGAAAAGCGAAGAAGCCACCTTTCTTCAAAATGTTGTATTACTTGGGATGAGCAGGAATAACACAAAGAAAAGTTTTTTAGTGCTGGACCTTTCTGTATGTGAACCAAGAAGTCAGCTGGTTTTCTGCATTTTTGTTTTTTTTAAATTTAGCCAAGATAAGTGCTACCTGTAGCTTCCTTTTCCACAAAGTCTGCTTGCTCCTTATGATAAGGTCACTGCTACCTGAAATGCTAGGTAATGACGCTGTATTTGTATCATACTTGTGAAGAATTATGTCCTTAATGGCTCCCTGAATCCAGTTTTCTTAATCCTTAAATTTAGTAGTTAGCAGACTTGAAACTGTTTTAAGTATTCCAACTCCCTACATTCATAAGAACATAGTACCTTTCACAACTTTCCAGCATACTTACTGATTATTCAAATTAATAAATAAATATATATGGATGTACGTATGTATGACTAAAATAAAATGCTAGCATTTTAATCACTGATGACAATTTAAGGTTTTGTATCTATGCAGCCTATGTGTCTTCTAGAGAAAAAGAGTTCATTATTTTTTTAAAGGCAAGATCCTATTGTATGTAGAGACTGTAACCATGGTTTATGAAAATAAATTTCTGTGGGTTTTTTTTTTAGGAAAAATTAGATATGTCAATGTATCCTGTTGAAAGCATTAGAAACTTCAGTATTATAGCTCACGTAGATCATGGCAAAAGTACACTAGCAGACAGATTGTTGGAAATCACAGGTAAGTGTTCTCATTTCATACTACCTTTTCTGACATGTAAGATGATGTGTCAGTTTCTGTAGCTTTGATTATTACTAAAATTTCTAATGTCTTTGCTCTTTTAGTGCCAGATTGCTTATGCTTTTAGGTTTCCAGTTGTGTAGTGTTACACGTGTGAATATGATGGACTTTCTTTCTGGTTGAGATCTGCCTACAGCTAGGGGTAAGAAAGTGTGTAACTCACTGAAGGAAGTACGTATTTTAGAAAGAGACTGAAAAGGAGTGTACTTCCTTGTTCACAATGCTACTTCTGTCATTCCTGACCATTTGTCCATTAGACCAGTAAGCAGCGAGTTTGTGGTGTATACTGCCAGTGTTTGGGGTGGACTGTCATGACTTAGGAATTCTGGACACAGTAGTTTTCAAAAGTGTTATTGAAACAGAGAGGAACTTCAGCTGCTTGTACTTGGATGAAAGAAATTATATGTCCTCCTGTGAGCAAACCATAAACAGCTGCCTTTCATGGTGGTGGAGCTCACTGGTACTGAAGGTGATACCATGCTGCATAGTAAGTTTTAGAAATGTACAGCCCTATGTTGATTTAGATTTAGTGTGTAGAATAACTGCTAGTAATTAAGTGTAAATTCCGTAGATTCTCAGCTGCTATAGACTTGTTTTTTGCTTCACCGTAAGTATTGCTGAGGTTGTGTTACTTTCATCTTCAGAGGTTTTTATTTTGTCCTCATCGGAGTGCTGCTTGGACTTCAGTATTTTTATTTCTGCGTTGTTGTTGAGGATAAGGGAAACTACCCCCCTTTAAAGCGAAAGTGAGAAACAAGTGCTAAGTGACTCTGAAACTAGGGTTTCCTTGGGGGAGAGAGAGACAGAAGTTGCCTTAGAAGGTTCTCTAAGGTAAGTTGTAAAGCAATTGCTGTATCTCCCAAGAGGAGACTGATTTCAGAGCAGAGTTTAAATTAGCTACTCAGAGATACCCTTTGGAGGAGTCTTGTATTTCTCATTTAAGTGGTGAGCGAAACAAAACCTGGGAGAGAAGGTTTCTATCAATCAGAGCTATTCTTTATAATTACCTCTTATGTGTGACTATGACAATTTTATCTGATGCCTGTGATAGAATGGAGCTTTGAATTCAGGTCTGTCCAGCTCTGTGATAATACTCTTCTCGCAATTGAGATTGGCACTGGTCGGAACTGTGGGCCATGGAGGTGAAGTTTCTTCAAACATCAAAATTATTTAGCACTGAATGGAATTTTTGCTACTTCTTAATCTCTAATTTAGACCTACATGATGTTTTGTATACTGCTTACTGAGGAAAGTATTTTATATAAGTTCATATGTAAAAAATTTATTTAATAAATGTTAAGAGTTGAAGCATAATTTTATTTCTAAACGAAAATCTAAGTTTAGATTAATCAGATGGAAAAGTTTCTTTGCAGCTGCAAGTCCTATGTTCTGGTTAATGGCATTTTCAAGAATTATTTATTTTGAAAGCTAATGTACTAAATGAGATAATAAAACTGGTTGGTTTTTTATCTTAGGAACAATTGCTAAAACTGACCGTAATAAACAAGTGCTGGATAAACTCCAAGTGGAACGTGAAAGAGGAATTACGGTTAAAGCACAATCTGCATCTCTCTTTTACAGTCACGAAGGAGTAAACTACCTCTTAAATCTTATTGACACGCCAGTAAGTTAAGTATAAACAGTTTTTAAATCACACAAAGCTAAATGCCTTTATATTTAAAAGTAGGAGATGTCTGGCTTCTTGTGTTTATTCAATTTCTTTTTTTCTTTTTTTTTTTTTTTTTGTAAGAATTGTGTTTTGGATGAACATACATACAAATGAAAACATCATAATATAGAAATCTTTGCAAAGGACTCTAGCAGTACTTGAAATTGTAAACATTTATTTTTTCCACAGGGCCACGTGGATTTCAGCTATGAAGTGTCACGGTCACTGTCTGCCTGTCAAGGTGTCATACTTGTAGTGGATGCAAATGAGGTGGAGTTCTTAATTCCCGTTTTCTGTTTAGAATTTCAGCAATTTCATTAAGTAAGCGAGGGAGAAGATTAGGGTTTTTTTTTTTTTAATTTTTCCATCAGTGTTTTTGCCCCTGGTCTGTCTCCATGAAAGTATTACGTTGCAGAAGAATAATAATGGGAGTTTTAAAAAAAATCTGGACACAAATACTTATGTGTTGATAGCTACTGCAGTTCCAAGACGCAGAAATAAAAGCACAGGATTAGTGAAGAATCAGGTCCTTTGTACAGCGTATGAACTTTGCAAATGGCAGTGTGGAGAACTTTTAGCTGTTGGTGCTAATACTGATTTGAATACCCTCAGTTTCTCGTTGGAAAGCTTGATGATTTGTTCAACCAACCACAGTTAGTTATAACTAATTGCTGTTGTGTTTTTGATTGTCAGTAATACAAACTAATACTGGCAACGTTAAAGCTAAAGGACACTATAAGCTGAATGTGAACAGACATATTCTTGAAACTTGAGAAGTTTTCTATCTGCTAGATTAACGTGTTCTTGACTGATCTTTCAGGAGAAGCAGGAGAGTGAGGGAGTAAAATGTTTGTAAGGTGACACTCTCATAAATTTACAAAGTCTATACTAGGAGGGAAGTGAAATTAGAGATCTTAGTTGTACTTTTATTTGTACAGAGCTAGGAACGTTTTGAAGAATCAGTTAACTAGAGTATGAGGAGTATGGGAACATGATTTTAAATGTGGACGTATTCTCACAAAGTGTTTTGATAATTTTGTCTGTGGCATATTTATGATTGGATTGTACAAGGATGAAATGAATACTACCTTTTTCCTTGTTATATGAAAAAAAGTAACTTCCTTTCAATGATTATGAAAAAAAAAAAGATTCCGTGTTAAACTTTTTTAATGCTTATTTTCTAGGGTATTCAGGCTCAGACAGTGGCAAACTTCTATCTTGCTTTTGAAGCACAGCTTGCAATAATTCCTGTCATAAATAAGGTAATAAAGGTTTTAGAGTTTCATATTAAATAGCTGCGTTGTTTAAAGGTATAGGAGATTTATAAGAAATGTATCGTCAAAATAGCTAGAATACGGTAAGAACTTTGTGTTTTACTCATAAATACAGAAAGGTTCCTTGACTTGTATATTTGGAAACTACAGTGCTGGATTGTACAGAAGAGGTGATTACCTGTATATTTAGCAGTTTGTTATTTTTCAGATTGACTTGAAGAATGCAGACCCTGAAAGAGTCGAAAAACAAATTGAGAAGCTGTTTGATATTCCTGTAGATGAATGCATAAGGGTAAGATCTCTGCAAGTTTTATAACATGCTTATTGTATATCTGTATCTACTTTGTAGCTAATGAAAGACATGCACACATAGTAAATCAACAGGGTGTAATCTGTCTGCCTGTTTTTGTCTGATACGCATGAATTTCTTTAAAGATTGTCTCCTGGAAAACAAGAATGGAGAACATCTCAATTAAAAATTTTAGTGTGTCTTGATGAATGGCGTCAAGTAGATTTTAAATTATTTTTCATTGTGGGTCTGCAAATTGTTTGCACTTTTACTGTAACAACAGTTGCCATTCAGTAGAGGGAAAAAAACCTGTTACAGAATGATTTGGAAGTGTTTAAGACCAGGTTGGATGAGGCTTTGGGCAGTGTGGGCTAGTTGAGGGTGTCCCTGCCCGCAGCAGGGGGGTTGGAACTAGATGATCTTTAAGGTCCCTTCCAACCCAAACCATTCTATGATTCTATGATTTATAATCAAATAAGCATTTCATAATAATAGCGTTTGAAAGTGTGCTTCAGAGTGCTTTTATGGGTAGTATTATCTGTGGCCAAATGTAACACTGTTGAATAGAGATACTGAATGAATGTAAGACACGTCTTATAAAATTGTTGTTGGACTTGTTTTAGATTTCTGCTAAACAAGGAACAAATGTTGAAAAAGTTCTTCAAAAAGTCATTGAGAAGATTCCACCGTAAGTTCTGTATTTAGTTTTGAAACCTTGCAAGGTTAATTAGGAAACCATGAGTTGCATTTATACAGTATAATGACACTAGTTTTGCACTTTATAGAGTATTGACTTTTAATCAGATAAATATTAAGAGATGTGGGAGAAATCTAATGTCTGAGCTGGTTAAGTCAGTTTCAAATTGCAAATCAGAAAAATGACACTTCAGATTTGAGATGCCTTTTAAAAAATGCATGTATGAATGTCAGCAGAGAAGACTTTTTGTTCTTAAGAAGAGGGAGAGGAAAAGAATTCAATATGCAGTGAAAGATGAGAGGTGAGCCACCAAAGGTGATACTTTTATGAATGTTTATATAGCTTCCATGAAACTTAGTGTTTGAGCATCTGTGTGTGCTATTACTCCTTTTGAACATTGCATTGTTAAAATGATAAAGGTAATTGAAATCTGCTGTGTTTAGAGTTTCATATCCTGAACCCAACCTTTAAATAGACTTTTATCTAGGAACTTATGACAAAGCTGCTGAATTACAGTTCAGTTACAGTCAGCATATTGCTTTTCAATCTTTTTTCCTACTGTTAGCTAATAATTGTAATCCTCATATTAGTTAATAATTATAGTTAAAAGAAACCACAATGAAAATCTGAGATTAGGTTTCCATGAAATATGGCAAAATCAAAATATCAGTGGACTTCTTTTTTTCTAAAACCCTCAGTTGTTTGAATGTAACTGTTGAATTTTTGTTTCCCCTGTAATACGATATTTTAAGCATCAGTCTCACCTGTTGTGAAATAAATATGATGAATATGCACTTGCTTTTGTTCTGTTTGTACTGCTGTTGCACATCAGAGAAAAAAAATGTAAAGATTTGCAGTGTAATAGTGAAACATTCAAATGAAGTCTGGTATGTGTTTGTTTATTGAAAGTTACTTGGTAGTTTTATCTATTTTAATACAGAAGTTTTTGAGGTGGTGGTGCTTGCTCACTTGATATTGACTGAAAAACACACTGCTTAATATATTGTTTTACATTTGTTTGTGTTAGACCCCACTGTAATACTGCTGATCCATTGAAAGCCTTAGTATTTGACTCCACGTTTGACCACTACCGAGGCGTCATAGCTAACATTGCACTCTTTGGTGGGGAGATTCAGAAAGGGCATAAAATTGTGTCTGCACACACAAAGAAAAGATATGAAGTTAATGAAGTTGGAATTTTGTCTCCAAATGAGCAGCCAACGCATAAACTGTAAGTAATAATTTCTTTCAATGGAACAAATCATGAATAGATGTAAGATACAAAGTCCTGCATTTCTGTTCAATTTTTGCTTTGAGTGGTAAAGACTGGGAGATGCCTGGGGTTTTTGTTCTTGTTCTTTGGTGGTGGGTTTTTAAATGATTATTATCTGTAATTTAATGCTCAATGTCAGTGTTTTTTCATTTTGGGCATGCTGAGGCAGAAACTTTTGGGGGTTGCTTTTTGGGCACTGCTAGAGGGAGGAAGCCATTCTATCATCTATAGTACATGGAACATCTGGACAGCTAGGTTTTTTTAAGACGAGCATTTGATATTCTTATTCAGCTGTCCAATTTGTTTCTAGGAACTACCTTGTTTGAGAGTGGAAGGGAATGGGGCTTCATCTTAGTTATTGCTGCAGCATATTTTGAGGGTGGAAAACTTAAAATCCATGAATGCAACAGCTTCCAGAAACTGGCTCCTCATGGCAGCAGTGGGAAGAAAATCAGGTACTTAGAATTAGTGGAGAAGCTTTATCAATTTGCATCCAAGTATGCATTAATGACTTTCTTGGAAGATTCTCAGTGAGACTGCGATACTGTGTGTGGTGGGTAGAACCCAGCCAGCAACTAAGCACCCAACAGCCACTTGCTCACTACCCCAACCTCAGTGGGATGGGGAAGAGAATTGGAAGTGCAAAAGTGAGGAAAGACTCACGGGTCAAGATAAAGACAGTTAACTAAGTGAAGAAAAAAGAAAAGGAGGGGAGTGATGTGAAGACAATCAGTTACCACCTTCCACAAGCAGACCGACCACTAGCAGACAAGCTAGTGTACAAGCAACAGCCACCTCGGAAAGACCGCTCCTTGGTTTTTATTGCCGAGTATGATGTTCTATGGCATGGAATATCTGTTTGGTCAGTTCAGGTCTGCTGTCCTGGCTGTGTCAGCTCCCAACCTCTTGCCCTACCTAGCCTATTTGCTGCAGGGGGACAAAGTGAGAAACAGAGAAAGCCTTTATGCTGTGCAAGTGCTGTTCAGCAATAGCTAAAACACTGGTGTGTTATCAACGCCATTTTATTCACAAATCCAAAGCACAGCACTGCATGGGGCTGCTATGAAGAAAGTTAATTCCATCCCAGCCAAAACCAGTACACTGTATTTTACTCTTTATCTAACCATGGGTTCCTCTCATAAACATCATTACGTGCTGATGGAAGGCATTTGTCTTTATTGTTTCTGCCACTTAGTATATGAAACTTGCTGTGGTGGCAGCTGGGAACTCTTCTGGTTCTGTTTCTTAGATCCTTGAGCAGTTCCTGGTAGCTCTAGCTTTCAAACTGGGAGTAGCACTGAATTCAAAATCCAGAACTATAAATGTTCATTTAACTGTAAGAGAAATAAAGCTGCTTTAGTGAACAGGTAGTTTGTCCCTTGAAATGAAGTTCCCAGCTCAGAGGAGAAATGACTTAAATCTGGCTTTTGGACTGCATATGGGGCTTTTAGGGGTGTGATTTATTTGAATTTCTGACTGGGCTAAGTGAAGTGGGAAAAATAGCAGAAATACTGATAATGCCAAGAAGCATGTCCATGTAATGCCAATTTTATTTAGATATGCTGGACAGGTGGGCTACCTGATTGCTGGAATGAAAGAAGTAACAGAAGCCCAAATAGGAGACACGCTGTTTTTGTATAAACAGCCAGTGGAGCCTTTGCCTGGCTTTAAGTCAGCGAAGCCAATGGTTTTTGCAGGTGAGGAGTAAACCGATATAAGGTGGAATTACTTTTTTCCAATAACAAGAGTAAGAGAGCTGTTAGAGCTTCTAAAGTAATATATGTGTATATTAAGAGTTGTGAGGATTGGAATTTTAGCAAAGTTAAGCTACAGAGGCACATCATTTATATAGCTTTGTGTAATTTTCCCTGTGACTCAACAGACAAGATTCATAATAGTTGTAGACTGGTTTTAGATGAATACAAAACTAACATGTATTTTTTAGCCACAATTATTGCTTCTAATGCCAGTAAATTCGTGATAGCTGGAAAAGAAGGGTTGAGACTTTAAAAAATGAAGTCCATTTATTGGAATTCTTCATCTTGATAACCATAACTATTGCGAAATCTTTGTTCTTTTAAAAATTAGCAACTGTTTAATTTTTGTTAAATATGGTAAACTACCAAAGCTAATATTCAGAATGATTCTGTAAAATATTTGACTTTTTAAACTTGAATAGTTCTGTTCAGCTGTTGCCACCAGCTTCTGTTACTACTACAAATGCTATGGAAGATGGCTTTAGAGCGAAATAAATTCTGTAAATCGCTTTCTACACTTGTTGCGATGGAATGTGTAAAACTCACTTGAACTGTGTCATGGAGATTATGCTGTCTGTCAGGGAATGTAGAAAAGTGTAATCCTGTAAATTTTTTGTGTGTGCATGTGTGTTGCTTCTTGGTATAGAGCAATCTATATTTTCTGAACATAGTGATGTGAAAAGTGGTACAATAGAATCTATTTCAGGCAGTAATTATACAGAGAGCTGCTTTTTATTAATTTAAAAAAAATACAGAAACATTCACAACTTTGATACAGCAATTTTTTTTTTTTGCTGTTCAGCCTTACCTTTGAAAGAACATCTCAGTGAAGTCTGTCTGCTTATTCATTTATGCTTAAGCTGTACGTTTACACTGCAGCCCAGCAAAACAATGCTTATACTCAATTGTCCATATTCCACAGTTGTGAAGGCTTAGATGAGTACAGTATCCCTACCATTATTGTTTGAATGTTAATTCCTTTTTTTTTTTTATGTAATCTAATATTTTATTACATTTTATCTAATTTTTTTTGGAAAAAAAGTCCTTGTATTGTTTGTCACATTTTAAAAAAGTTGGAACAGAAAGTAAGCTATTTCTGATTTTATTACTGTGTTCACTGTAAAAAGCATATTTGAAAGCTCAGTATAGACTAGATAAAGCTCTATCACATGACTTCTACCTAATATGTTTTGACAGGAATGTATCCTGCAGATCAAACAGAATATAATAATCTCAAAAGTGCTTTGGAAAGGCTGACGTTGAATGACTCCAGTGTAACTGTTCATCGTGACAGTAGCCTTGCCTTAGGAGCTGGATGGAGGTGAGGCTTTTATACTGCTTTCGTTTTTGGAACTGTTCATAAATTGAGAGTGCAGGTTTAAGTCAACTGAAGGTTGAATTAAAATGAATCGAAGATTAGGAGCTTTTTATTCAAATTAATGGTAGGTAAAGATCAAAAGCATTTGATTCTCTTACATTCTGTATTTGCGCAGAGTATGCAATTCATTGTGATTGACAGTTTTTGTTGTTGGTTTTTTTTTTTTTTTCCAGATTGGGTTTCCTTGGTCTTTTACATATGGAAGTTTTTAATCAACGTTTGGAGCAAGAGTATAACATGTCTGTTATTTTGACTGCACCTACGGTTCCTTATAAAGCTGTTCTTTCCTCAGCAAAGTTAATAAAGGTATGTTAAGTTTATTACAGCTTTATGTAAATAGCAGCTAAAAAGCCTCCTATAGTAAATATCTACACTTTTTGGTTTTTAATGTAGACTAGTACTTCATTTTATAGCAAACATTAGAAACACCAGCGTTTAACTTAAAACTATTTTTAATGGATTTCTTTAAAGAATGTTAGCTTTCCTGCCGCATTCCACTTAAAGTGCTCTCTTTTTTATCTTACACCTGTCCTTGAAAATGGAAATAAAGGACACATTTCTTGTTGTATTCTTTTAAGTGTATACTGACTGGACTGAGTTTAAAGCAGGTGAAATAACATCCCAGACTTTTATCAGTCAGAAAAATGAACATTTTTGGGAATAGCTTGTAATTCTACTGTAGACTGTCAAGGGCTGGTAAAGACAAGTGAGTTTTTGATCACGGTGAAACAGGCATGTGCAAATGTCATTGAACTGGGTGCAAAGAAAATTACTGTGAGTTTAGAGAGAGTTGGAGTTATGAGCACCTGCTGACAGAGGAGGCTGCAAATAGGTTGGCTTCTTATTGTCCACCATGTACCTCTAAACACAACGGAAAATCTGTAAATTCTGAACAGCTTGTACAAGAAACGTTGCTGTACTTGCAAAGTGTAAGGCATAGACCCTTTTTCTCTCCAGTTATTTTGCTTTCTTCCTGAGGCAGGGTAGCAGCTATGAGTGAAGTAGTTGACACCTTTGCTGCATAAGTGATTCTGGATTGCTGATGTGGAACGCTGTTTTCAAACAGTGCTGGAAACTGGGTCATTGTTCAAGAACGCTGCCTTGCCAGTGGAAAGTGATATAATCACGTGATTTGGTGCTTGGGGAGAGTTGTATGTACATGACAAGAAACACAACCTTCTTCTATTCTTAGTTCAGAAGGATAACTCCAGCCCCTATCAGGATGTTGGACTAGAAGAAAATAGATCATGAAAGCACTTTCACAGGAATCAAAAACTTAATTTCTAAACCCACTTCAGCTTGTAACGAAGCCTGAACAAGTTCTACTTAGAGAAGAATGTCCCCATCACCAAACACCAGAATACTTAGAGCAGGTCTTTTGTTGAAGCTGTACCTTATGCCTTCTACGATCAGGATGGAGTAAGAAGGAAGATCCTTGCTCTATATGCAAGAGAGAGAAACGGAAAGATGGACAGAAAGGCTTTTATATTTCTGTGGATAACCCTGGGTTGTAGTCCTAGTTCTAAGCACTTCTTCTGTTTACAGTTCACTGGATAAAATTCTTAAAAAAAAGTTTTTCTAGTGAAAAGTAATTCCTACAATCTTTCTATATAATAATACTCAGAGATATGCTGATCAGGGACTTCCGTATGTGATGTAGAAATCCCTTTCAAAATTGTGCTTCGTATGAATCTGGGTTGCATAATTCACAAGTGTTTCCAAGCAATTGAAACATTTTTTAGCATTTTTTTCAATGCTATATTTGTCTCACTTGCTATTTAGTCTACTTAATTAAAATTACAGTATCTGTTTTGTTTGTTTGTTTGTTTTCAGGAGTGTGGTGATCTTTAGATTACTATTATCAACCCTGCTCAGTTTCCGGATAAACTTTCAGTATCTGAATATTTGGAGCCAACCGTACTTGGTACTATTGTAACACCTCATGAATACATTGGGAAAATAATTACTTTGTGTCAGGTTGGTATATAGTTTTAGTTTTGTCATTTAAGCTCTTCGTATCATACTTGAAGACACTAGATAGTAAGATACTAATACTGTTGAAGAGGATCTTTGATGGTAATTATTAAATATTTTTGAAAGAAAATATTTTAAACTCTTTATATGTAAAATTATTTCTCAACTACAAAATCCTTATACTGAAAATTAGTGATGAAGCTTAGTGACAGTAAGTACCTGGTCAAGCATCCTATACTAGACAAATTCATAGCTAGTTCTATTTTCCTGAAAGAATGGAATCTGCAGCAGGGGAATAAGATTGGTTTCTAGACATACATTCATGGAAACATGACTTTTGTTAAGCTGTAATGAGGCTTCATATGTTTTCAGTACTTCACTAGAGTACATTTATGATAGTGATGGCCAAACACATTTCATCAAGTGTAGTTTTAACTGCTGTGCATATTGTCTTTATATAATTTCTTCACAATATTTTTCTTAGCTTTTAACATTTCAAAATACATAATACAAAAGACTACAGTGCTTGTCAGTACAGTAAAATATAAGATCTATTAAAAAGACTTCCTGAAATAACTTTGAGAACACCCTTCTGGCAGAAAAGAAGATGCGCCTGCAACTGCTGTTGTGTAATACTCCAATGTATGTGAAAATCTAATGTCAGTGAGATTTTGTTGCCAAATAATTTTACATTTAAAAGGCAGCAGTAAGCAGAAGCTGTTAAGGATTTCAGAAATTCAGCTTTTAGAGAAGATAAACTTGAATCATTTGTCCAGTTAAGTTACAACCACTTCATTTTTTATGGTGCTGCAATTTGTTCTGGGACTTCAGCAAATTAACGATAAGAAAGTTACTTTGGGCCTTGAAGTATGGGAGACTGGATAGCTGTTTATTTTAATTTGCTTTGTATTTATTTGTAGAGAAGTTCTGTTGAAGGGAACTGAAACAATTTTTATTTATCTAGGATCGTAGGGCAGTCCAAAAGGATATGTTGTACATTGATGAACACAGGGTTATGCTAAAATACCTCTTTCCACTGAATGAAATTGTGGTGGATTTTTATGATGCCCTTAAGTCTCTGTCTTCTGGTTATGCAAGGTAACTACCTCTTCTGTTCCCCCTCCCCTTCCCCCCAGCCTTGACCCTGAGGCGTGAACAAAAAAAGATCTGAGAAGACGACACAGAAGGGCACAAGTGAAGAATATTCTTTTATGATGGTGCTGCAAATTGAGTCTTACTTCAATGAATTAAATTCACTGTGAAAATGGATGGAAATAAATCTGAAAAACACTAAAAGTGCATCACTACCTACTAATCATTTTCTTTGATGCATGTATTTTTCAGGTGTGACCTATAGAGCAGCACTCACTCATCTAGATGAGTAAGATCTAGATGGTTCTTTCTTGTCTGAAGTGACAATGGGCATTTTCTATCAAAGGAATCACTGAAAACGTACTTCCTGCTGTATTGTCTCTTGGTGGAAAAGGGAAAATAACCAAATACTGATTCTTTAAAGCTAGTAAAAACAATCAACAAACTATAATTGAAACAAACAATGCTTACTTTACTTACATGCTTTATTATGGGAATAAAGTAAATCATCTGTATTTTGAGACAAAATGTTCTGCTGTGGATGGGTTCTATAAATTCAGAGGCTAGAACAAAGCTCAGCTGTTAGTGAGAGCCTTTTTCAGTTTAATGGAAGAGAAACTGTTGCATGTCAGATGGGCTTATACCACAGGCAACTCAATAGCTCTTACAAACCTGGTATGTAGACACGTTGTTAGTTAGTAAGATGTAGTACATTTTGACAGGAACTAGTATACTTAATTATACTATTAATTTTATAAGCATCAAAATGAATTTTACTGGAGGACTGAATTTGGTTTGAGTCTTTGTTTTCTTAAATATGCCTTATAAAGTTAAGGTAAGATGTGTTTTGCCTGGGTTTGTGTATATTTGAAGTAGAGGCATAAGCAAAAAATAGGGAAGCAAGAAGGACAGGTAGAAGAAATGGGGGGATGGAGATTTTGAATTTTCTCTGAGGATCTAGATAAAAACCAATCTTTATCAAGAAGCTATCTCATTAGCAGTATTATGCTGGGTTTCTGTTGATTCAGCTGTAATTGCAAACAATGTTGCGTTGTCTTATTTCTCAATTTTTATTTCCTAATTGACTCCCTAATGTTGTGTATTTAATGCTCTCAATAATCATACTTCTGTTATATGAATCTGTTCACACAACTGTGGTTTATCTCAGCCAATTAAGACAGAAGTACTTTCAAATACTCTCAAGATTTTTTTCCCTTCAGTTCTGATATTTCAGCTCTGACCAGACTAGTGGTATTGGCATTCTCCACATTTCTATTTACATACGAGATAATATATATGTATTACATACCTATACGTCTGCATCTTCTACTTTTTAAGAATTTTTGCAAACTGACAGACAGACAGCAAGGCCCATACCTACTAAAGGAGAAACATGGTTTGGAAATGAAGAGGAAAAATTTGTTGTCATAGAGAAGGGTCACAGGGGTCATATAAAAAGTCTGTCAAATGAGAGAAAACAATCCAGTGTTAGTGTTTGATTTGTGTGACATCAAGGATGTTTGCTGTTCAGAAGCTGTGTTGAAGGCTTCTGTTGCCTGGAACTTGAAGGAACTTCCAGCTGATAGAAAAGAAGTGTTTGAATAAACTCTTTAAGAGATTGCAGTAAGAATGTCTATTTTTGATTGATTTACCTTGCTCAGTAGCTGGAAGACGGGATGATGTCTTCTGCTGCCTTGGAGATGAGATTTATCTGCATTAAATTTCTAGTCCAGCCTTGCATAAGGGAGATGTACTGAGAGACTTAAAAACTGTGCTCCTACTAATAAAAAGTTTGAGTGTTTATTAAGAAATATGTCTAAAACTTAAAACTTATGGAACAAAAAGTGCAGAATATAATTTTTAGAAAATCATCACTAACTTTTAAACTGCTTTCATTTAGTTTTGATTATGAAGATGCAGGATACCAGGCAGCAGACCTTATCAAAATGGATATTCTTCTAAATGGAAATCCAGTTGAAGAACTGGCAACAATCATACACAAGTAGGTTGACTGGATTCTCTCTTCCAAAGAAATAAGACTTCCTATTAATATACAATGAAAACATATTTGTCATATATTAGTAATACATACACATGTATGAAAACAGCATTGAGGATTTCACCACATCACCACTTTTGGAGATGAACTGAGAAAGAGGCATTTAAGTGCTAGATAAAATATTTTGTGGTAATGTAGGGCAGGGAGAAGGAAATGCAAAATGCCAGTCTTTTAAGGGGCTGGAAAAATTTAAAACCAGACTGGTCTAGGAGATGCCAGATGAATAGTTCATGGCACTTATGATTTACTACTGGAAAAAAAAATAAAATTTATTTTATGCTCCCAGTAATTCCTTTTCTGTAGAAGTTTGTTGTTGTCTTGTTTCCAGCCAGAGTACCAGGAAAATGTAAATATTTACCAGATATAATTACCTCAGAAACTTTTTGCTAAAATGATTCAGTTTCTGTAAGTTTCTCAGAAATTACTGGTTTGCTGGTGAGAATAATGCCCTCCTGTTTCTAGCCTCTCAGTAATTCTGAGATCAACTTTTTGGGGTTTTTTTTTGTTGTTGGGTTTGAGGGGGTTTTTTTCCTTCTCAAAATACTAACTTGTAGTTGCTAAAAAAATATGTATATTTTCATATTTTTTACATAACTGCAATCCTAAAATCATTGGAATTCCTTAACATCAGAAGGTCAGCGTAGGAAAATGAAACTCTTACTTTGTTCAGAAAGATCCTGGGGCTGAAGTGGAATAACTCTCTCATATACATTTGCTACTTAACCTGTTTTTCATAAATAAGCAGCATTTAGCAATCTACTTGCATGTCTTTTACTTCGAAAAGATACAAAATGGAGTGGCCAACCTTGCAAAAGTTAGTTATTGCTTTAACATGTGTTTCTTGATCAGTTTAGTTTGCACCCATGAACTGTTTTGCTCACTAAAACTAATGACAGCCTTTTTTTTGGCTTTAGCTTACAAATATTTTTTTAAGTTGTAGACAGCATTCATTCTGCTCCTGCTTCAGTTATTCTCAGAGTCTTCTCAACTGTAAATAGCCTGTATATATAAAAAGAATTATTCTGAATTACATTTATAGAGAAAGAATTACTGAGATTACTGTAAGCTCAGTATTAATCTAGCCAATATTATTTGTCCTAATTATACAAATAAATATCTGTATCTTCTAAAACTGTTAACACTTAATGAACATTACTTAAGTACTTTATGTTTAAACTGTTTGCTTTATACAGGTAGCCAGGAGTCACATTGTTGCTACATGAAAACATGTAAAACTATTTACAGCTGTATGTTGCTAAAAAATATTTACTAAATATAGATGATTTTAGGGAGAAGAGACCCATTTAGCTGCAATGACTTCTGAAAGTATCTGTTTAGGAGCTTCTTTAGACCTTTTATTGTTTTCTCTTTACAAAATATGAAGCATATGCAGATGCTGAATATAGTTGGATAATTTTTATTAGCAGATGACAAGAGTACATTAAAATGGTTTTGGGTGGGTTTGGGTTTTTTTGTTGTTATGTAGAAACATATATTTTAAAAATATTTCTCTAATATGTAGACCTTTTGATGTTTTGGGCCTACCATCAATGAAAATCCTCCTTGACCTTCTAGTTTAAAATTGCATTTGAAGCTGTGACAGTATTCAAAATGGCTTCAGTGTGATACGTAATCAGGGTGTTTATAATAAATATTTTAAATTTATTTTAAGACCTTAATTAATACAATTTTACATTAATACAATCTTATCACCTGTTTGTATGAAACAGGTGACACAGAGATCACTTATTAGATGTAAAATTATGATCTGATCAGTTTATCTTTTGAGTTAAAAAGAGGAAAACCTTTACTAAAATCCTTTTATCTAACAGTTTGGTCTATGGATATATTTTTAGGGGTTGTACTGCTCTTTCTGAAACCACTGGTGACTTTATTTTTCAGTGATAAGGCATATGCTACTGGTAAATTCCTGTGTGAACGTTTAAAAGATGCTATACCTAGACAGTTGTTTGAAATAGCCATCCAGGCTGCTATTGGCAAGAAAATCATTGCAAGAAACGGAAGTGAAGCCCTTCTGTTTCCTTCTTCCCGCCCCCCCCCCGCTTATGTTAAGCTACTTAAAATACAGACTCTTAATGTCTTACCTAGTTTTTTACATTACAGTACTTGGATTTTACTGTAAAGCCGTATTTTTATTGTATATGCTACTGGACCGCTTGGCAGGGAACAAAAAACCCACCCATTTGGTCTGTGACTATGACTAAGGACTTTTTATAAAATTTAATTGAAAAAATGTATTTTTATTTTAAATTGCTTGTGGTCAGCAATGCATTTAATGGGTAGAGTATAACTTGCAACACCCATGTGTCCACTTCCTCTTGGGCAGTGGAAAAATTTTGTTACTACTGAAAAATTTAGCTAGTTGTGGAATAGTTTAACCTCTGGGAGGAGCAGCAAAAAAAACCCCCGAACTTGCTATTCCAAAGGAAATGTGTTGCAAGCTGAACACACAACTATTTCTTAGCAGCACTCACTTTTAAACTGTTTCCTTGATGTTGTGTTTTTTGTCACATTTTTGCTGTTGCTATTTAAATAGGATTTAAATTGTGGTGAAAGAATTAAAGGTAGGGATCCAAGCAGAGGTGCTGTAAGAATTTGTGTGTACGTATCTGTATACACACATATGTAACACTGTGAATCATAGCAGAAATCCTAGATAAAAAGGCAAGATTGTAATTTTTATGTACATAGTATACACCCTGAGGGATATTTCTAGAATTGAGAAACATGAATTAAGTTCTCTGTAGAACTTTGTCTTCTGTATACAGAACATGAAAATGTCCTGATTCCAGTGCATCTTTCAAAACTACTAGAAAAAACAATGCTTAGTATTTTGACAACTCAGTGTTTAGCTTCACACATAGGAGATATTCTAATGTGCTAAAGTGTGTATGTTATTTTATTTTACAGGCTGAAAGCTTACAGAAAAAATGTTGTGGCTAAATGTGTAGGTATTTTTTTCATTTTTTGATGTTTCTGATGCATGTAACCTGTCTTGCTAATGCAATTGGTCTATCTTTTCCTAGAAACCCAGCAAAGATATGTTCTGCTTGTTTTCCTAAGTATCAATGGAATATTAACAGATGCTTTTAAACTTTTATGTTAAAGTTCAACTCATGTAACCTCTAGTTGCAGCTTGCAGTAAGAGTGGATCAGAAAGAATAATGGCTTTTTCAAAATTACACACTTGGAGTGAACTCAACAGAGTGTGTCTGTGTTCACTCCTGTCTCCTCACCATTTTCTAATAGTTGTAGACATACAGTAATTGCGTGTGTGCATGTGTACACACATGTATGTGTAACTTCACATTTCCTACATTTGTTTTTTCCAGGTGATTTAAGAAACTATAAAAGTGCTTCTTTAGTGACTGATTGTGATTAGACTTTCACTTAGGTTTTCAGTAATACATCATGACAAGGCCTTAAATATGCAGTAGTTGAGTATCAACAAGCCTGGACAAAGCTACGGGAAAAATGTGATGTCTCTTACTTGTCTTTAGCTCTCTGAAGCGCACGTGTTCGAAAAAGAAAAAAAAATTAAACAAGTACCCCTTTCTCACAACCATTATAGAATTCTTCTGCTAGGCACATACGTGGGATGGTGTTTGCTCAAAATCATATAACTTACCTAGATGTAAGCACCTGGTGCTAGTCAGGATGCCCCAGAGTATCTGAGCTGGCATCCTGCTGCTATTTCAAGGGGATTTGGATATCCCGTAGGTTGTGTCTACCATGAGCCATGCTTATGTGAATGTATATATTTAGGTAACTGAATTCAACCCTCAATGAACATGCATAATTGGTCCCTTGTTCTTTTAACTAGTGGCCTTTTGGGATAACTATTTGGAGTATAAAATAATCTTCTGTCATAATATAAGTAGCCTTTCTGACTATTTTTAAACCCTTGAGTTTAGTGTTGGTGACGTACTGTAGTTGCATTTAAGCTTACTAGAATTCTTTTCCTTTTCATAGTATGGTGGAGACATTACAAGAAGAATGAAGCTTTTGAAGAGGCAGGCAGAAGGGAAGAAATTGATGAGAAAAATAGGCAACGTGGAAGTACCAAGAGATGCCTTTTATTTTTAAGCCCTTGAGTTTAGTGTTGGTGACATGTACTGTAGTTGCATTTAAGCTTACTAGAATTCTTTTCCTTTTCATAGTATGGTGGAGACATTACAAGAAGAATGAAGCTTTTGAAGAAGCAGGCAGAAGGGAAGAAGTTGATGAGAAAAATAGGCAACGTGGAAGTACCAAGAGATGCCTTTATACGTGTTTTAAAGAGACAAACTGACAAATAGAGATCCGTGACACGCAGCTGATTATTCTTTCAACTTTTTGTAGACAGTAGCATGATGAGCTAATGTGTAATTTATCACTGAGAGGGAACATTTTTGACTTTAAATGGTGTAAATTAAACATATGTGGGAACATAAATTGAAAGGACTGTGTACTTAAAATGTACAGATACATGTAGATGATGATTATGGAATTAAAGTTATTTGACTTAAATGAATCTAGAAGTTTTCATTGTATTGGTTTTCATTGCATTTCATTATTATCATACTTTCAACACTTAAATTTTAACATGGTTATGTTTTATTTTTGTCTCTGAGAAAACAAGAACAATGTGACAAAAAGTTTATAAAAATAATTGAAAAGTTTGTATAGACAAACAATGCTGTTGGGGTTTTTTGGTTTTGTTTTAAAAAAGTTTGAACTGTTGCCACAAAAATATAAAGCTACTTCCTGTTTTACTTTCTAAAGTTGCTGTTGTCAGGAAATCACGATGATGATGGGGAAACACATCAAGAAAAACTAATCATGACTTCTTTTAATGTACCACACTTCATTTTAAACTTGTTAAAATCTGTCAGTTTACCATGAATACAGCCTAGCTATGCTAATCTCCAAAGAAATTGTTAAGTTTTAATATATTAAAACACGAGGATATGTAGCTGCTCCACCAATAATATCAATTTAGGCCTTGATTCCTTTGGCACAAAGGCTTAGAACAGTCTTAGGGTACTTTTTGAAGTTTTACTTCTGTTGTTCACATATTAAAGTTTGTCAGTGAGTTCTCACTTGAAAGCTGTAGTTAAGTCTGCTTAATATGAGTTGTTGCTTTTTGAAGTGCAAATAAATTGTTAACACAAGTTAATGAACATGATATACTGTGTTGACAACTACATGCCCATCTCTGAAAGCTTTAAGCTGTATTTATTTTTTACATCTTCAGGGATCTTTACTTCTTGTTACTAAATTATATTTTAGAGAAAGTTCTAGTAATATCTCTTAAATTACTCAATCACCAAGAAAGGTGATTGCTCTTAAATTTAGGCTTGTAGCTACAATTTGAGAGTGATAGTTCTTTTAGTTCAATTGGGAACATCCTTGGAGGGATGGAATTGAACTGGATACCATCAGAGGTCCCTTTCAACCTGTATTAGTCTAAGTCTACAGAAAAAGGAGGGAGGGAATTTTGATACTTCAGTGGTTTGTTTGGGGCTTTTTTGCTGTTGCTTTTTATTTGAAGTGTTGAGAACACAGTATCCCATCTTTCTAATAAATGTACATAAGCTGCTGCTACTACTGATCCTGAACATAGGAAAGATGCTGTGGACAATGGCTCTATCATTAACATAATTATTATTCCTCCCCCTAAAAAAGCTCACAGGAATACTATCTGGAAAGATAGCATTTAAGACATATCTAAGAAAGTACAGATATAATAATATGTGCTAAGAGCAAAGGAACTAGAGCAATTTTTTAAAATATTTTTTTCCCTTTTTAAATAGACCTAGAAGAGAAAGTACTGGCTCTGTACTGAGGAATAAGGTAGAAGCTAAAGGTAAGCCAGATACTATCCAAGTAGTAAATCTCATAAAGTTGCTGAGTATGACACATCAAATATGTCACCTAATTAAAGAACCACTACATGCATGGATAAAGCCACCTTGGGAGGGAACAGGGTGCTGCTGCAGCAACAAAGGCAAATCAGATCCAGGGCTGCATTACTAGCAGAGATAGCCCTCTGCTCAGTGCTTGCCAGGCAGCACCTGGAATACTGTGTCCAGTTCTGCTCCCCACAGTTCAAGAGAGAGATGGTCAGGCTGGAGAGGGCCCAAAGGAAGGCTGCAAAGATGATCAAAGATACGGAGAACCTGAGGAGTTAAGCATTCCCCTTTTCAGAGAGAAAAGACCTAGGGAGGACCTCATCACAGTATTCCAGTATTTACATGGTGATCACAAAGAGCACAGAGGCTGTCTTGTCACAGGGAACCACATGGAGAAAGCAAGGGGCAACAGTTGCAGCACTCAGTAAAAGTTGCACTGGGGAAGATTTCATTGCAATAACTAATTTTTTATAATAAAAAATTCTTTAGAGTAAGAATACCTGCCTATTCTTCATCTAGGTGAAAAGTTAAATTACTGAAGTTGTTCTCTGTTGTGCTTTCTCCCACTGAGTATTTTACACAAGGGCATGCCCCCGCCCCCTGCAAAAAAAGTCTAAATCAATAAACTCTTCCTCCTAGGTAGAAGGCAGCACAGAATTCCTAACCTTCCCATGAAACCCTGACATACTTATTCATGCCAGAATTTATTAAAAACAAAACAATGTTGACATTATGGATTTATATCTAAGTTTTACTTATATTCAAAGTAGGAAATAACATTCCTTGTAACAGCTCAATGTTTCTAATGATACAATGAGAGGTAACTATTGCAAAATGATTAACAGTTGACTGTAAATGATCATGTATTAAACTTGCAGACATTATATTCCTGTAAATTAACCTCTTCTCAGGCATTTAATAGTAACATCAATGGTACAATTAAACAGGTACCTTGAGAAAGGAACATTTAGATTCTTCCTTATGTATAAAGCTCAATTACCAAAAATATAAAACTCCTAAAGTAATTTGAAACACATGAGAAGAAAAAGTGCTATGACAGAAGTTCAGTATTTTTATCTGTGGAATAAGTTACAACTTTCAACAATTTGGTGCATTTTTAGGCACTGTTTTTGTATTTTTATTTGCCTGAATTGTACAGCAGGACTTGAGATGCCCCAAAACTGTTTAAGATAATTTAAGGCAACCAAGTGCAAAACCTCAGTGTACATTAGATATATGTAAACAGAACATTTTATAGTAGAAATTGTACAACTATTACAAGTCCATAGTATTGACAAAGGCCAAAACCATTCTGCCTAGAGACACAAATGCAAAATGTAGTTACACTAATCAAGCCAAAAATTACAACTTCCTGGAAATAAAGTATCATCTTCTGTAACACAAGGCAGATGCATTACATTGCTGTGCTAGAATAAGTGATCTGCTTCCCCACCCCCCTACATAACATGCAGTCTCCCGCTGGTTTGTTCTGTTCCACTTAGTTATGTACCTGCCAACAACAGAACTCCAAACATTAAAGCAAAAATGTACAACACAGCAAACAGATGGAATGTCAATGTACAGATATTGGACCTTTTAAAAAATACAGTACCTAGGATTCCCCATTTTGATCAGTTTTCAGCATATTGCATAGCAGTGAACTCATCTGCTACCTAAAACTGTTGCTGTTGACCCACATGGAGTTCCTCTTCAATTCTTCTTTCAGTTTTCTTTCATACTGTACAGTGGGTCCACAAGCTTATTGTGCACATGCATTAAACCTTGGGGGGAAAGCAACAATGCCAGCTTTACATTAGTTATACTTTTTCAACATGTTTTTTTCTATCCACATTTTTATTTGGAGTTTGCTTCAAAGTATACATTTTAAGTAGTTCACTGAAGAGAATAACAATGACTATTCCAAGTTGTTTAAAATCAGAAGTTAAAGACAGGCTATATATTCCTGTATCACTTGAATACTAATGACATCTTCAGTAGAAAGTGAGCACAGATGAGACAGTTCTCTGATAACAGACCCATCAAAAAGTAGATCTGGAATACTTTCAAATGCATTGACTACATGGAATCCACCCATCTTTCCTTTGTATTAAAAATTGCATAACAGCAACATAAAATTCCCTCACACCAAAGTCTGCCATAAAAATCAGATGTACACGTACTGATACTTTTACAGCTGGAATCGCAATGTTATGGCATTGTGGTATTACTGTCTTTGTCACTAATAGCATACTTGTGGTCCTAGACAGACAAAACTAAAGTATCCAGACTGTTAATGCAGATTCATAACTCCAGCAGTTCAACTGTTTTCTATTCTAGCTGGGCTTTTTTTTTTGTCATTTACAAGTCATCCACAGCTGTGATTAGGGGAGGTTTTCTTCTCTCCTGGTAAGATAATTTGATTTTGGAAAGTGCTGAAAAGAAGAGCAATAGGAAAAAAAAAAAAAGGTGCTGCTTTGTTTACTTTGTTACAACTTAGTAAAAATGTTACCTACATCTAGGTTTGTATGACATTCAGTCACTGATATGTTTTTAACCTCATTTCACCTTAAGGACTAATAACAGTAACTGATCAGTGTTCACAATCTGCAAAGTAAAAGTCCATTTTAGCACCAAACGAAGGATTAACTTCTAAAATTACAAATTTAAGTAACATGCAACATTAGTAGAGCAGTTTTCTTAAAAACCACAGAAGTGTGACAGTAGTGCACATTTTAGTGATTATCTACAGCAAAGAATATTCAAATACCTTTGCTACATGATGCATCTGGTGGCAAACTTAGTGTCACTGCAGTAACATGAAACTTGAATAACTGTACAATCTGAGGCCATTACTGTAGGTGACCACAACAAAAGGCATTTTATGCAGCATCTACTTCTAATCAGTGTGCAATTATTTAATATAAAATGCAGATGTTACTATTTCCATCTTCACTTAGTGACACATTCAGCCATACTAAACAGCAAACACACTTATAACTGACTCAAGAATCCAGCTCATGTTGTCTCTAGAAGTAATGACTTAGCTTCAGATATTTATGCAATAAGAAAACCCACCTTAGAAGGCAACATAACTAAAGAAGAGTTTCTTAGATTTCATGAAGGAAAACTACTGGCGTTGATGTACATGGGAAAGATGAAGTCAGTAATAGTTTTCAGGAGTTTAACAGTAAGTATTAAGTATACATTTGATAAAAAAGCCATTTGTACTTAAAGAATAACAGCTGTACACACTACCCAAACTATAACTATGTTTTGGACTTTAAAGCATTTTACTTCCTACCAGTGTTTTTCTCTTCTAAAAAAGGGAAATGAAAAGGAGATAATTTCCTACTTCCTAAAGGCATGAAAAATGCTTACAAAGTATTGCCTCTGCCATATTTAAT